TTGAGCACCCCTGCATCCTGTTACCTGTGATTCCGTTGCTGATCTGACCTGTTATTGATCCTGCTTGAACTCTGCCTGCACCGACCCCTGGCCTGCCCTCTGACTATTCTCCTGCCTGCTGTTTCTGTTTACTCTGCCTGTTAGTTGCAGACCCGGACCGCCTGACCTTGCCTTAGTCTGCTTCTGCACCTGAACCAGCTTGTCCTTGCCAGTATCCTGCTCCTGCACTTCTGCCAGTGTGCCATCCACCAGCTGCTCCTGCATTCCTGACGCACGTCAACATCCATCCACAGACGTCCTACCAGGCACTCGTGTACCTCTGTGTTCCGGCACTCCCTGTTACTCTGCCAGGGCCCCTGAGCCAGAGCTGCAAGGGAAGCCTTCCTCTGCACTTCAGGTTCTACCACCAGGTACAGGTGTTTCACATTGTAAACACAATGGCAGGGGTCCTGCATGATGTCATTGATCAAAACTGGCCATGACCATATTTGGTGAGTGACATCACCCAGCATCCACGTCGGTTTGTTGACATTTAGCAGGCTGCCATTGTGGTGGGGCAGCATTGTCATTGTGGTGGGGTGTCACAGAGTTACTTTACAAGACGCACTTTAATACAACACACGTGATGGGAATACTGGATATTGTTTTATTAATAAATGTCTTGTAAGGATAAAGCTCTATGTTTTGGTCATGTCTTTTCGGTGCATATTTGATGGAGGAGGAGAGCTAAGAGAGTGGAGGAGATTCATGCCCATTGGACACAAGACATCAGTCCATAGAAGGGACACGTGCATTGATGACCTCACCTAGCGGTTTGGTCATATACAGTTGTGTTCAAAATAATAGCAGTGTGATGAAAAAAGTGAATAAAGCTCAAAATCCTTCTAATAGCTTTTATTTCCATCCACACAAATGCATTGGGAACACGACACATTCTATTCCAAATCACAACATGAAGAAAAATACATCAAATTTGTGTTGTTCCTCTAAAAAAATGGAAGAAAAGTGAATATTAGACGGTTCAAAAAAAAATCGCAGTGTTTGTATTCTTCTTTACAAACTCCAACATTCACTATATAAACTGAGAAATGTTTGAAGATTTTGCTTTCCTTTGAATGACTTCATGAATATTTGGTTGTAGTCGCACTGTTTCTGAGAACTGCTGTACATCTGTGTTGCATGGAGTCACCCAACTTCTGGCCCCTGTGATCAGGTATTCCAGCCCAGGATGATTGGACCACATTCCACAGTTCTTCTCTATTTCTTGGTTTTGCCTCAGAAACGGCATTTTTGATGTCACCCCACAAGTTTTCTATTGGATTAAGATCTGGGGATTGGGCTGGCCACTCCATAACGTCCATCTTGTTGGTCTGGAACCAAGATGTTGCACATTTACTGGTGTGTTTGGGGTCGTTGTCTTGTTGGAACCCCCATTTCAAGGGCATTTCCTCTTCAGCATAAGGCAGCATGACCTCTTCAAGTATTCTGATGTGTTCAAACTGATCCATGATCCCTGGTATGCGATAAATAGGCCCAACACCGTAGTATGAGAAAACATCCCCATATCATGATGCTTGCACCACCATGCTTCACGGTCTTCACAGTGTACTGTGGCTTGAATTCAGTGTTTGGGGGTCGTCTGACAAACTGTCTCCGCCCCCACTAGACCCAAAAAGACCAATCTTACTTTCATCAGTCTACAAAATGTTGCACCATTTCTCTTTAGGCCGGTCAATGTGCTCTTTGGCAGATTGTAACCTCTTCAGCACACGTCTTTTCTCCAACAGTGGGACTTTGCGGGGACTTCTTGCAGATAGCTTGGCTTCACATCGGCGTCTTCTAATTGTAACAGTCCTCACAGGGAACGTCGTCACACCTTCTTTCATCTTCCTGGAGCTGATTGTTGGCTGAGTCCGCGCCATTTTGGCTATTCTTCTATCCATTCCAATGGTAGTTTTTCTCTTTCTTCCACGTCTTTCAGGTTTTGGTTGCCATTTTAAAGCATTTGCGATCATTTTAACTGAGCAGCCGATCATTTTCTGAACTTCTTTATATGTTTCCCCTCTCCAATCAACTTTTTAATCAAGGTACGCTGTTCCTCTGAACAATGTCTGGAACGACCCATTTTCCTCAGAATTTCAGAGAGAAATGCACTGTAACCAGCATGTCCAACATTTGCTGCCTTCCTTCCTTAAATAAGGGCAATAATTGCCACCTGTTTTTCAAAGAATGAATGACGTCACTAATAGAACGCCACACTGCTATTATTTTGAACACGCCCCTTTCAATGAGTGATTCAATGACACAGAATCAGCAGCATGCATGTCATGACTGTCGGGTCTGTTGGATTTCTATTACTCTACTACACCTGCTAGGAAATTATTTGCCATGTAGAAATATCATTTCTACCAAAAACAGTGATTGATCTGGTTAGTGATGTCTGACTGCTATTATTTTGAACATACATCAGGTGAGAGCACATCCAGTGAAGGTGTACAGACACGCTTATTGGTTAGCAGTGTATAGAAGCACGAGGTGTTCCATGAAGTAATTTGGAATTTAAGCATCTGAGAAGATATACTATATTGCCCCAAGTATTGGTCTGCCGGCCTTTCCACGCGCATGAACTTTAATGTCCTCCAGTCTTAGTCCGTAGGGTTCAATATTGAGTTGGCCCCGCCCTTTCTACGCACATGACCTTTAATGGCCCCCCAGTCCTAGTCTGTAGGGTTCAATATTGAGTTGGCCCCGCCCTTTGCAGCTATAACAGCTTCAACTCTTCTGGGAAGGCTGTCCACAAGGTTTAGGAGGGTGTCTATGGGAAGGTTGGACCATTCTTCCAGAAGCACATTTGTCAGGTCAGGCACTGATGTTGGGGGAGGGGGCCTGGCTTGCAGTCTCCGCTCTAATTCATCCCAAAGGTATTCTGTGGGGTTGAGGTCAGTACTCTGTGCAGGCCAGTCAAGTTTCTCCACCCCAAACTCGCTCATCTGTGTCTTTATGAATCAGTGGGGTCATGCTTTACACCACTGCATCCAATGAAAAGAATAGACTAAAACAGAAAAGAATAGAAAATAAAGGAAGAGTATAGACTAGAATAGAGAATAAAAGAATAAAAAAGAATAGAATATAGCCATCTTCTGAAATTCAAATTTGAAAAAGAATAGAATAAAAAAGAATATAGCGGTCTTCCAAAATTCAAATTTAAAACATAGATCAGAAAAGAAGATAATAACATAGAATAGAATAAATTAGAATAGAATATAGATGTCTTACAAATTTCATAAAGAATATAATAGTATAAAATAGATTAGAAAAGAATAGAACAAAAAATAAAATAGAAAATAAAATACAGTAGAATAGAAACATATAGCAATCTTCTGAAATTTGAATTGTGAATAGTATAGAATCAGCTATTCTTCACAATGAATTTGGATCGATTAAATATTTTTGATTATGAATTTGATTCCAATTTGAATTCAGTTCGAATCCATTGGAAAAATTTGAATCTGGTCGAAAGTAAATAAACTAAACGAATTTCGTTATTAATGCGACAAAATGAAATGAGTAACTTAGCGATTTGATCCGAAATGAAACAAAACTAATGATTTTGTTCTGCACATGTCTAGACTTCAGTGGGAGTGCCTGAATATATTTTTTTTAAAACATAAATAACCTTCTCCTCCTCCTAGTAACTAGCTTTCCATTGGCTGAAATAAAATTGCCCAAGCCTGAATACATCTGAAAAAAAAAAATGCAGGAAAAAAAAACATTCCAAAATTGCATGTAAACGCTTTTCCTGGGGGGTGAATGCAGCCCAAGTATTTGGTGTTTCGGACACATCACACTGAGAAATCTCCGGATCTAATCTGAAAGATCTGGGATTTGTGGAAGGCAGTCGGAGCCGAATTCTGCTGATATCCTATTCTAAGGCTACTTACTTGGCATGGTAAAGCTGAGAGTCATTTCCTCCTCCAGGGATCTGTGGCTGACAATACAGAATAATACATCTCCGGGTTCAGCGTCGGTAGACGGCTCCACAGTCAGCTCACTGGTCACACTAAATGTCCCATCGCTGTTCCCCAAAGGTGTTGTGAAAGAAACGTCCTTGTCCCAAGGTGAGTTCCTGCTGTTACTTTTACTGGATTTAACCCATCGGATCGTCACAGCTTCTGGGTAAAATTACTGACTTCACAACGGACAGATCCCCTGATTCCAAGTTCAATGTGTTGATCATGGCTCAGCGCCGTCTGCGGCTTAACTGTACAAGGAAAGACAATTATTCATTATTTCTATACTAAAGGCTAATTCCACTTAAAGTGTCACTAAACCCCCAACAGTACAATCAGTCTGTAGATGCAGTAAAGCGTGCTTGTTATACTCACTGTGGTAATAACAGGTAAGGTGTGGCAGCTTAGTTGTGCCCCCCAGTAGGTAAATTACTACACCTTCTACCTTCATCCATCAGAAGGCGCCGTGCTGTGCAGCACAAGGGTCTCAGCCTTTGGGCTGGGTGTATGTAAATTTATTGTATATTCCAGCATTTGTGGTTTTATTTATTTGCTACATCTAAGTAAAATTCTGATGTGACAAAAGCTGGTGTTGGGATTGCTTTCCTCGTTCGTGACTTCACTGTATCCTCGGGAGCCCACCCCGGTACACGGCTTACAAATGCAGGGTCCGGGGAGATTGGATACAGTGAATGCAGGGTCCGGGAGAGCGGATATAGTGAATGCGGGGTCCGGGGAGATTGGATACAGTGAATGCAGGGTCCGGGGAGATTGGATACAGTGAATGCAGGGTCCAGTCAGAGCGGATATAGTGAATGCGGGGTCTGGGGAGACCAGATATAGTGAATGCGGGGTCCGGGGAGAGCGGATATAGTGAATGCGGGGTTCCGGGGAGAGCGGATATAGTGAATGCGGGGTCCGGGGGCGGATATAGTGAATGCGGGGTTCCGGGGAGAGCGGATATAGTGAATGCGGGGTCCGGGGAGAGCGGATATAGTGAATGCGGGGTCTGGGGAGACCAGATATAGTGAATGCAGGGTCCAGTCAGAGCAGATATAGTGAATGCGGGGTCCGGGGAGACCAGATATAGTGTGAATGCGGGGTCCAGGGAGACCAGATATAGTGAATGCAGGGTCCAGTCAGAGCGGATATAGTGAATGCGGGGTCCGGGGAGAGCGAATATAGTGAATGCAGGGTCCAGGGAGACCAGATATAGTGAATGCAGGGTCCAGTCAGAGCGGATATAGTGAATGCGGGGTCCGGGGAGAGCGGATATAGTGAATGCGGGGTCCGGGGAGAGCGGATATAGTGAATGCGGGGTCCGGGGAGAGCGGATATAGTGAATGCGGGGTCCGGGGAGAGCGGATATAGTGAATGCGGGGTCCGGGGAGAGCGGATATAGTGAATGCGGGGTCCGGGGAGAGCGGATATAGTGAATGCGGGGTCCGGGGAGAGCGGATATAGTGAATGCGGGGTCCGGGGAGAGCGGATATAGTGAATGCGGGGTCCGGGGAGAGCGGATATAGGGAATGCGGGGTCCGAGGAGAGCGGATATAGTGAATGCGGGGTCCGGGGAGAGCGGATATAATTTTGATTCGAAACAAAACAAATCTCATGTGACTAGAGTAGATGTGGAGCCTTTTCATGATCATAGGATGGCTGTTACTTTTGAGGTCTTGGCTGGATTATATGGCTGCTCGGGTTGCAGTCTGGACTATTCATCTCCACATACTACATAGTAGTGAGGGAGTCCAGATTTTTTTTACAATTTTACACCTGGTGAAGACAGCTCTCTGTGAATGACCCATGCACTATTGGGTTGATTTACTAAAGGCAAATAGACTGTGAACTTTGCAGGAGCAGTTGCTTCAGAGCTTAATAAATGAGCAAAAGCTGTGCTGACTTCCATCGTCCAATTATGTGCAAGCAAACGTGCATTTTTTTCAGTTTTCCTTGCAAATGATTGGGTATTTGCAAAGTGAATCTTTATCTCATGCACAAAGCTCTGGAGCAATTGCATCTTGTATGGTGCACAGTCTATTTGCCTTTAGTAAGACAACCCACATGTGTGAGTATAATTATTTTTATTCCTTTCATTATCAATAAATGCATTATCGGCACTGTCTAGTGCACCTAATGTTTCTCTTTTCTTGCGGATCTCACTGTGTACCTGATACTTGCAGAGTAGATGTAGCGGAGTCGGAATCTGGAGTGAAGATAACAAAGCAGCGATAGTCCCCTTCATCTGTGATCTGAATGTTGGGTATGAAAAGACTGGCATTGCCTTGTTGGAGGTCTTTGTCACGCATGTGAGATCCGGGCCTCAATGGCATATGCTGGTAACTACTAAAACCATAAACCTCATGTTCAGTTCCATTTTGTAATCTGAGAGTCCAGACAACTGCTAGTTTCTCTAGATTCAGCGGTATTGGGACACCAGACAGCCGACAAGAGATGGTGACATCTTCTCCTCTAAGGGCTTCAGAAGGAACATCTTTCCCAGTAACTCTCAACCATCGAACCTGAAAATCACCTAAAAAATTAGAACAAAAAAGAGTGAATACAATTGTACAGGATCACTTGGGACAGAGGAAACTAAACTGCTAACGTAATCCAGTATAACACTGCAATGGCACTAAAACCACTTATGGACCCCCCCCCCCCCCGCAATGTACTGTGGACAGGCGGGCCGTGCAGGCAAAGCAACATACTGGTCTGTCATTGCCTGCTTTTGGGTTTAGGGAGCAAGCATGAACGCCCCCACCACCGACACCTACTGTGATTGTACACAGCGGGAGTCTGTTAGCAAGTCTGACTGGTTCCACGACACAATTCAGGACTAGGACCTGCTGATCAGCTGTGTCCAATCACAGCACAGAGCTCTGTGTTGATGAACAATCTGTACACAGAGGAAGATCTATGGTTCTTATTTCTGCAAAGCAGGGATGAGAAACAAAGATCTGTTAGTAAAAGCAGCACATAATACACACATTACACATTGTTGGGCACATATTTATTCCCTTGATCGCCCCTAGATGTTAACCCCTTCCCAATTTTGGTCTTTTTTGTATCGCAAAACATAAAAAACCCAGTAGTGGTCAAATACCACCAAAAGAAAGGGCTATATGTGTGAAAAAATGATATAAATTTCATTTGGGTATAGCATTGCATAACTGTTCAATTACCACTTAAAATAGCGCAGTTGCAAATATCAAGAAATGCCCTGGACATGAAGGGGGTAAAACCTTCCAAAGGCCAAGTGGTTAGACCGGGATCCAGCAAGGTGATTTGACAATGGAATCAGTAATGGTAACCCTCCAGTATGCTTCAACCTGAGGTTCTACACTCCTATATCCCCTCTGAATCCAAGATGTGGTGCAGATGCAATCAGTTGGAATTCTGTTTCATATTTTCTGACTATGCCCTTGATTCGGCCTTTCTGAGAGAAGGTAGAAGATTTACTGTGTCAAGTAAAGTGTGAAGGTCCTCAACCTTCTTGGCCTCCCTTTCACAGATATACCCAAAACCTCTAAAAAATTGACCACCCATATCCTAACAGAAGGTACGAGACCTATCCCTCTCCACTGGAGGACAACTGTTGTCCTGTCTCAGCCAGACCTACTGGACACAGTTATGGAAATTAGGAAGATAGAACATCTGATGGCTAACATTTGGGATAGACTGGAGACATCCTCTCAGATATGGGCACTGTGGGATCAGCCATCTTTTAGAGCTTTCTTTTGGTGGTATTTAACCTCCCTAGCGGTCTGATTATGTCAGTATTTCTGTGCTCAAAGTGGTAAATTTTTTTGCATGGAAATATGTTGTTATTTTATTGTAGGCCTGTAATTTTTAGGAATAACTCACTGAAATCTGTCCGAACAAGAATCTAGAAAACATCCCGGGTATGATAAAATTTGAAACACGAAATCATAAATTATAATATAATAAATAATCGTAAAAAATAATAATATAAATAATAAATTTAATTCAATAATATAATCAAACCAAAAACACTGAAATGTGAAATAGAGCGCCAAGTTCGCACATCGCTGAGCTCAGTCGCAGAATCGTTTTCAGTGTCTGATGAGGAATTTCCCCCACCAATCATTATCACTCAATTCTGCAAGTGGTTCTGATTTACTATCGCTGTTCTCTAGCCGGTCTAAACCACTTTTGACCTAAAGGGACGCTTTTTGGACATTTCTCAGTTTCTAGGCAGAAAGAACAGTAAAAATGCAGGCAGGGCGCCGGACAAAGCACTCGGGACAACATGTATGTGAAATGGTTTGATACAGTAATGGAATACTACCAAATTTTAGTGTATTGAGTGAATGTCACTTTTAAAATTTTTGAATTTCCAGCCGGTTCCATCCCCGGTATGTCCTGATGCTCCCAGGGACCGGAACCCGGACAACGGATTGCCGGCATCGGCTGGAGGAGATAGCCGGGGACGCTGCAGGGGGGACATTGCGGGAGCGCAGCACAAGGTAAGTGAAACAGGGATCCCGGAGCAACGCTGCAGGGCCATCCTGAGTGTAGCTCGGGGTTACCGCTTTTGGTACTGAAAGTTTACCCCGAGCTACACTCGGGAATACCTCCAGGGGGGTTAAATCACCACTGGGTTATTTTTTTTATTTAATGCTATATAAACAAAAAAAAATACTCAAAATTTTTTTAAAACAAAAATCCATTTTTCTTAATTTCTGTTATAAAATTTTCCAAGCAAAAAATATTTCATCATAAATTTAGACTAAAATGTATTCTGTTACAGCTCTTTGGTAAAGATTCCCCAAATCAGTGTTTATTATTTAATCTGTAGCAAAGTTATAGACTCTACAAACTATGGGATATACAGTATATTTGAAAATTGATCTACCCTGCTGTCCTGACGTCCGGTCTCAAATCTTGAGGCCTTCAATGTCAAGACAGTACAAATACCCCACCAAACGTCAGGATAGTACAAATACCCCCAAATGTCAGGACAGTACAATACCCACAAATGTTAGGATAGTACAAATACCCCCTAAACATCAGGATACTACAAATACCCCCCAAATGCCAGGACAGTACAAATACCCCACAAATGTCAGGACAGTAAAAATACCCCCCAAATGCCAGGACAGAACAAACACCCCCCAAATGCCAGGATGGAACAAACACCCCCCCAAATGCCAGGACAGAACAAATCCCCCCCCCCCCCAAATGCCAGGACAGTACAAATCCCCCCCCCCCCCCCCCCAATGCCAGGACAGTACAAGTCCCCCCCCTCCAAATTTCAGGAAAGTACAATACCCCCCTAAATCCCCCCTAGATGTCAGGGCAGTACAAGTACCCCCAAATCTTAGGACAGCACAATACCCCCAAATGACAGGACAAGTACCCCCAAATGTCAGGACAGGACAAATACCCCCAAATGTCAGGACAGGACAAATAACCCCCCAAATGACCCTTTTTTGGAAACTAGACAGTCTTAGGTATTTAATCATGTGATTGCTATGACTGGCCATAACGCTCACATGATATCCCGGCTCACAGCAGATGGGTATTGAGCTCAGTGATCCACTGCGTCCATCAGATGGCGGATGAGTTCCTACTTACCATTTGAAGGGAAAATCCTGACATCCTGGGTCACATTACGTGGAATTACAAGAGTTTTTTTTGACCTTTCTAGATGTAGGGTTCATATCATACACATAATCTGCTTTCCATCGGTGGTGGGTTGGAATGCACAGATGTATTTTTGAACATGAGTGGTGGTGACGCAAGATTAAAATGACTTCCATTATGACTGACACTGATTATACATGTTACTTGTTATAAAAAATAACAGGCTGTATGTATGGTTGATATGAGGTATAATCACTTGGGAGCGCTTCCTAATTTTGGGGAGGTGTCCATGCTGTACGTAAGAAACATCTTAATAAAAAGACAACTTTGAAGTAGGTAGTGTTTGCCAAAAAAAACATTGATTTTTTTGTGTAGCAGCAATAATTGATGTGTTGGAAGCAGTAGTAGAGGCAATACAGCCAAAAACTAACAAAGTATAGACTTTAAAATAAGAAAGCTAAAGCTATTAACATCATATACACTGCCAAACAGGGACAAAGAAAGTCACAGCGCATAGCTTGTTGGGATCTTCTATTCAGTAGCACAATGTATTGTGTACAAACCACAAACCATAATCCTCAAACCCACATTGCAGAGATGACGCAGTTAAAAAAAAAAAATGAGGCAAGAACATAAAAAAAAACAATTGGAATGGGCCCCAAGGCAGCGATGTAAGAGATAGAATTTTTTTTTTCTCTCTAGAAAAAAACGATTAACTATTGGCCATTAAGCAAGCATCTCTACTTGG